GTTTACGAACACCGAATATCTTTCAGCGCAACGCATGAGGCAAGCCTTGAAATTCTCTTTTTGTAAACAACTAGCACTGGTTTTACACAACAGGTATCGCCAAATGTACTACCATATGGAGATATTTAAGAACGCAGATGTGATCGTAACTCCTACCACAGCGTGAGCTTGTTAGAACCTTGGTTGCATACTCTGAGCACTTGATCCACAGGGCAACAGCACCATCTATTTCGTTGGACGCTCTTGAATGTGGAGAACTCAACTATGTCTATGGAGGTAGCCGTCTTGAGTTTTGCTAATGTTCCAGCGATTTGTTTCAACGTGAATCATTGCAGCTAAACTCATGCGGTACCAGATTGCTGGGAACTTCATCGGACTTCCCGCGATATCTGTGCCGGTAAACCACATGAACAAACTCCATCTCTAGCTAGCTCAATCTTTGGAGTTACCAGGTTGGATTTGACCAGGCGGGCATGCCGATTGGCATCCAACTTATCGGGAAACCATGGTCGGAAGCTACGCTGCTCAGGCTTGCATACGTGATTGAGGTGAGAGATCACATTCTCCATTCACAGAGATGATAAAAGCTTTTTACTCTACAGGGCCTTTGTGCTGCTGAGAGCCGGCGGCCAGAGGTGTTGTTCGATCTCTTGCTATAAATTTGGCGAGCTTTGTAGGATTTCCTTATGCAATGTAATGTTTAGTTTTTATTTAAGTATACATAGTTAGTGTTTAATGTTAGTACTAATATAAACCTTGGTGTCACCTTTTATGAAAGGAGATTTTAAAACTTGGATCTGATTGTCCATCTAACGTCGTGCCCGCATTGCCACCGAAGCTCTCCTCCACATGAGCGCTACTGCTCGTGGCGGTCGTGCAAATCCCCTGGAGACGAAGCCCGAGCGGATGATCCGGCAGATGGAACAGTGCGCGAGGCTGCAGACGCTGCTGCAGGAGCTCGTTGCCGTCGGCGATGCCGCGCGCATTCTTGCGGGCCATGGAATTGGCGCGGAGCTTCACGCTGTCGCGGTAGTCCTCGTGGACCTTGAGCGCGCGCTCGATGCGGGCGATGGAGCTGTTGCTGGAGATCCAGCTGCTGCGGAAGATGATCTCGATGATGTTGCGCGACGAATCGCCGCGCCCCAGCTCCGACACTGAAGAACACAAAGAATTAGAATGGGTCGATCAAAGAGAGAATATTTTGCGACAATCAAGACCGAAAAGGAAAATACTCCAAATTTAGACCACGGCCATATATATATATATACACACACGTTTATTTTCTAAATTACCATCAGGTACCAAGTATGGCAATGCTTCGGGCAGGTCGGTTATGCCGTAGGTTTTCTTCTCTGTCAAAGGCGTCACTAGACGTAGATGGTGTCTTCATGAACCGATGCGAACTGGCGAAGTTGCAGAGGGCGCTATCCAAGCGCCCGGGAGATGCCGGAGTCGTGGCGGCTCTGCAGGGGCCCAAGTCGTCGGGCAAGACCATGCTGATCAGCGAGTTTTGCAGGAGGCAGCGGGAAGGTATGTTTGCCGGAACGTCCACGTACGTGAGTCTTCGTCACCCTGGCCTCACCGACCCCGGACGCTTGGCCACGGGCCTCATGGGGGGCTTCCTCAAATCCGTATCGTCTTTCCGGGCTGTAGACACCGGGAAGGATGTGGTCGGGCAATGGGCGATGGAGGTGGGGTTGAAGGATGAAGACTTGGAGACTCATCCATTCGGCTATGGACACTTCCGACTGTTTGAGGAGCCAGAGCCCACGGGGATGGTTGCAGTGCTAGACGCTCTCAGGCGATGTTTCCTGTCATGGATGAAGATCTTAAGACTCGAGGGCGGGCTTTATACGAAGGGTTTCCCTACAATCTTCATTGACGAGGCCAGCGCTTTGATGTCGTGGACGGAGACGGCTGATGGGAGAGCGGCCATGAACCTGCTTTTCAGATGTCTGTTGGCGATGTCCCAGGAGGATTGTTCGACTAACGTCGTCCTGGGGTCGTCGGAGAGCTTCTTTGAGCGCTGGCTGGGCAACTGCACCCCCGTCGGAGGTCATCGTGTGGCGGAGTGGTACGTTGGGCATTTCCCGGAGCCCCTCGCCAAGGCATATTTCATGCGCCGGGTAGGGGAAGCCAAGCAGGCGGAGGTTGCTCCTCTGTGGGATGGCGTCTATCGCCTGTATGGCGGACAGGCGCTCGAGCTGAACCTCTTGGCGGGCTTGATTTGTGATTCTGAGCCGGGCGAGGCTGCGGAGGTCTTTCGAGGAGAAGCAGGGCTCTCAACCAGCAGTGCCGTTTCGGATGTGGTTTCAGGCTGGTCTCCCCGCCGCCTTGAGCGCTTTGATGGGAGGAGCGATGCGCTGTGGAAGCCGGAGGAATGGACTGAGGTGATAAGGGTGTGTGCAAAGGCGCCGGATGGTGTGGTGCCCAAGTGCGAGCTCAAGATAGCACAAGAAAGTGTTGACTCCATGATCGAGCACGATCGCCTTCAAGTGCAGCCTGTTATCAGCTGGGCTGAGAGCAGGACTGATCAAGACTTAGATTCCTATCCGCTTGTCATGCCAATGACAAAGGCAGAGCACCATGGGATGAAGCGGCTAGCCCGTCAACTTTCTTAAAGCATGTAATCATAGTCAATTAAAGTCAACGAATAGTTATCTATAACTTTAGTGTTCTTAAGGATAAACTTATCTGATAACTTAAGGAGTAGTTTTTCAGTCCGAATTTACTCACCTTGTAATCCCACACATTCATTTAGATTTTTCAACAAGAGCTAGGTAAAGTCGAGCCTTTGTTCTCAAACATTGCTATAATTAATTAAAGATTCTTTTGTGATAAGCTAGAAGGAATTGAAACTAGAACATATGTCGTTAAGTTTAAGCCGGGGTTTTCGCTCCCCAGCCCTAACCCAGGAACTCACGCAAGCGAGCGCGCTTGGGGCGAAGAGAGGCGGCGATGAGCGTCCTGACGCTGGATCTGCGGCCTGGCGCTGGCATCGGCGCCTTCAGCCTAGGTATGGTTGGATCCTCCCGCGCAATTGACCTAGAATTCTTCTCTCCGGGCGTTAGCTGAGCTTGACTCTCGAGAAATTCGTGTCCAGGGATGCCAGTTTGTGAGGCGCTTGCTTATATCGAGCAGCATCACTCCGTCTTTGATGTCGTGCACATCAAATTCAACGACGAGGTGAAGAAAAATTTCTTTTTTCTTTCCTTTCTCCTCATTAGCGACACTCGTTCAGGATCCGCTACAATTCGACCTTGTTATAAGCTTTCCAGAGCATGGATTTCACCTTCGTTTCGAGCCGCGGACGCAGGTCTGCGATTTTCTTGCTTTTTTTTCTTCTTGCTTTCTCACCAATGGTAAATGCGTCTATTCTAGAGGCTTCGTCTGATAGAAGTATATGATGTCCAACGCTTGCAAATGCGGTATGCCACGTCCTCGATTGGGTGAGCTCGCTAGCGTTTTTCTCTCCTTGATGGAATTTCTCGAGACTTACACTTTACAGAGGTCCCAGTGTCGCGGCTACCTTCGTTGCCGTTTACGCACTCTTTGGCCCAACGTTTCCGGGATCGTTCGATGCAAAGCGGAATATCTATACTCTCTTCTATCCTGTAAGCCTTGTCTTTCAAACTTTCCAGCCTGAAGGTGGGGCTTTATGATCATCTTTGCTTGCAGGGCCTGGCGTTCACATTTCCGATTCCTGGGCAGTACACTAACTGCTGCCAAGATCGAGAAGGTAAGAGATCTACGTCCTGCGCATAATGGCAATGTTTCTGACTTTCATTTTTTCGTTTTTGGCTAAACCAGCTGAGCTGCCTATTGAGTTTCCAGATGGAACTACTCCTGTGATGTCTCGCGTCTGTATATATGACGGTGCGCTTGGTGGTAATGTGGAGGCTGGCGCTAACCTTGCGGCCCTGATAAAGAAAGCCATCCCGCCGCAACTACCTTCAGGAAGTTTATACATGGAAGAAGTCCATGCAAAGGTGTTTTGACTTTGTAAGTTTCTTATGCCTGCCATCTAAACTTCTTCTCTTTTGCATTAACAGCTCGCTGAGGACCTGTTCTTTACAACCAGTAAGAAGCGCTTGCCGTTTGGAGCGTCTCCTCAGGACGTGTGGGCAGAACTTGGCCGCCCCGACGGAATTCATCAAAAGCAGGTAACTATCGATATGAGAGAGAGAATCAGTCACAACAATCTTTTCGTGTTACTCAGGTGGATCCTATGGTTATACACTCGGCATCGGATCCGAGGCCGAACTCAGCCCTTT